AATGGTATTCTCTTTATCTTACGCTTTGGCACATAATTCACGTTGCACAATATATCAATTGCGTAATTTAGCCGAAGATGAGTACATTTCGTCTTATATGTATACTACTAGTAAAAAGCGGTTTTAAGCTTTCTTTCATCGAAATCGATTTCAATGGTTCAAGTTTTCGATTAATTCATAAGTTAATGCTGTCGATTGTTGCTGCTTTTGCAAATAACTTTAGATATAATTTTTCTTAAGAGCATCGGAATTCAGACCTACTAAAATTAAAGATTTAGACATTTTTTCGCGTTGAATTCTGCTCGACGTATATCATCGGCGCGGTCAGGCCAATGGTATTCTCCTTATGCTTTGGCACATAATTCACGTTGCTCAATATATCGATTGCGTAATTTATTCGAAGATGAATATACTTGTCGTATATGTATATACTACTTATTAACATTATATTGTGTACTACATGACATAGGTATAAACGTATACATTACAAAGGGTATTTCTCACAAAAGCTCCGATGATCGCACACGCATGCGCTCGAGCAAGTGCTTAAGTTTTCAGAAAAATAGATATATATGTATATATAATATATGTATATGGCATATGTGAATATATAATATGGGTTACCTTGTACGCGTGAAGAATCACAAAAATGATAAACCATTACAGAATCCATAGCGGAGCGACATCAAAAGATTGATGTAAAAAAAAACGACGTTATTCTTACAATGTTTAGTGACGTCATTTTGTCATTCTTTAGCATCACTTTGTTACTTGAGATATTTAAATATTACATAAGCTTTAGTAGAGCAAATGAATTTGCAGTGAAGCATCAAGATATATTTCGTAAGAGTTACTTTATGTTATATTTAATTAATTAATTTTTTTGCTAATATCCTATTAATATTTATATTTGTAACGGACTAGAGTTAGTGTTTTCTGCAAGAAATGGAAAAATGTGTAAACGCTAAAAGCGCGTGTTGTGCGATCATCGAATCATGAATTATTCTACCTTAAAGGATTAAGTACCACTATGAAGGACTTTCTTTGAGTTCTTCACGAGTCAATTAAGTCTCGAATGGTAGTCTTTTCTTAAATTTAATAATACTGATGCAGGTATTCGATGTTCTCTCCACTATTTTACATCGTGCGCGTTTTACAAAAGTGCGTAGAGAGTCTAAAGATGCGATTCGAGTATGAAATCTCACTCATTTTAAATAACTATCGTCTTTGTGCTAATTCCTAAGATTTAATGCCTATTTTACAGTAGAAAGGTATAAATGAGAGAACGATATTTAGAAACGATATCGACATATGTTATTTTCCGCAAGTTTCGTGACATTCTTGCGTTATTCCTGATTAGATCAATATTAACAAAATTGCGTCCAACTGAAGATTTTGTTTGTTTTCTCTAACTACTCAGCTGCTTTGTCTACAATAGCCGGATAAATCTGTATAATAATCCTTTGAAATTAATAGGAATAACATAACAAGAGATAAGCAAATATTTACATCATGCATAAATTTATGTTGCATAATTTTTTAACGACCTGGACGATGGAAAAAGGTATTTTTGCTATCTACGAAGTTTACAATATAAAAGTGCCCTGTTATTTATATCAGATAATTATTTCTATCGTTCGCGTATTCATTCCTTCTAGATACATTATTGAGCTTGAGGAGGACGTTCCTCGCTAGTAACGTGGATTAATCACAAGTAATTCACGTTTGTAACTATACTTGTACAATGTATAGTTGTGCTGTACAATACTACGAAGCTAGGATATATCGCGTCGGTGGAAAAATATCGTACTTTCTTGTTGGCATATCGTAAATTTGCACATGACATTCTTTGGACGTTCCGTTTGTTATCAACAATGTAAACTCTGCCGACCTGCTCTAGCGACGCTTGCAACGTCTTTTTCTCTCACGACCACGCTTATCGGGTTGTGTCTCCTCTTTCTTCTTCTCGAACTAAACTAAAGAGTAAATGCATTCCTTTCCGGTACACTCGACGCCATGTAGATCTGCGATTACACGAGGTCCATTTTAGAATAACGCCGAATTGTGTAACGTCAGAGGCGAGAGAAATAGAAAAAAAAGATATGTAAAGTCACTGAAACGAACCAACTTCCGTAAGCACAAAATATAGTCGTTTCGGTTAACGTCAGAAATCATTTATCAAAGCCTTGTAAGAAACTTGGACTTGTATGAAGTATCCACATTATTTAAAATTATTTCGTTAATTTTGAAACCATTTTACTTGATATATCGCAGCACACTCCAGATTTTGTACGCAAACTTATATGCTGACAGGATAATTTCAGCGTTTCGCATCCAAGCTCTCTCGTCTTTGACGTCATAACTTAAGATGTTCTATAAATTAATAAGGCTCGTATGTGTTGAACACAAATTTCAAAGAATTTAAAGGACTCAGAGCCGTGACAGGATGGTAGTGTCTAAATATTCTATTCTAAATTTATTGCGAAAAAATATCACCTCGGCCAGGGTTTGAACCTGGACCTCCCTCTCGCTAGGCGGGCGTCTCAACCAATTCGACCACCGAGGCACATGGCAATACTCATCGCAATAAACAGTCTAATGTTGATTCCCGAGTGCCACCTATCGTGACAGTATTCGAAATCGAGAACTGTGCGCCGACTTGATTTGTCAGTCTTAAAACACAGTATCATCTCCACAATGTATCCCCATTATTACGTTCTTTTAAGATTTTCTATAAGTGTTGCATATCTATCCTTAAAATATTATTACTTCATTAGTAATTAATTACCTGGGTCATATTACAAATCTGAAATCCTAAATTGTTACAAATGTACGTCGAAATTCTTTTCGATTACGAGTACGTGTATATACATCAGGTGTATACGTATATGTGCGTATGTACAAAAGTTTTTAATATTCATTACGAAACAACCAAGCCTCTTGGTTTCTTAACAAAACCAGAGATGGCCCGCATTGGCTTTGTCTTAGTTCAAGTGGAATGTTGCGAAATAGGAGATCTCTGATTTACAAAATTGATTACATTAGCTACGAGTTACTTGGTTCATTTGGTTACCATAGTTATCAGTCTGAAAATTGGTAAGCGGGTCCTATGAACTATAGAACGCTGTTTCTAGTTTCGAATTATATATAGCATAATGTACAAATGCCTAATTAATTAAGAAAGTATCTGATACAGCCAAAATAGCGCAACAAGAATTTTTCCTTACTCGCTTGCGAGAAAGGAACGAGTTTGATATTACTCTCGTATACACGGGAAAAAATGTATCGACAAGATCAGTGTAATTGAAATAAAATCGTTGAAGCAGCATCAATATTAATGAACAAAAAACATCAGACGGTTGTCTTAATAATCTGAACATTTAGTTCAATGCTTAAAATTAAAATCCACAGCGAATACAATTGAGCGAATTATATTTATGTTTGTGGCAGCCCGTGACGTTAACGTTTAATTCAAGCGACTTAATTTTTTTAATTCAACAGCATTTTTTCCCGTAAAAAAATACAACAAATACCAAAAGACACGCACAACAAATAACAAAACACACATACGCACGCATGGTACATACAAATGAAACCTAAACGAATTAAAACGAATTCAAGGGGAAGATTGTAAAATTATAATTACACCGATTGAATTCCTAACAATTCGTTGTGTAATTTCGCTCAACTGCGGCAAGAAACTTTAACATTTCTTTATCCGAAAGTTATTCCCAAAGTTATTCAGAAAAAACAAGAATAATATATATATATGAATGTATACGATAATAGCGTTCATTAAATGTACTGATCGACTTCACTACTATTTCTAAGATTAGTTTCACACCTGAACACTGTCCGTACCATTCAATTCTGATGGTGTATAATAATTTGCTCTTAACTTTCATGAGGCTACAAAATATTTTCTTCATCAATTTGGTTTTTAATGAATAAGGAATGCTACGGCAAGGTGTGAAATGTGATAACATCATAATTACAGCACGCAAATTATTACAAATATGAACGTGTAGTGCATGTCGTTTCGAATCCTTGGTACAAAACGCTCAGTATAAATTCTAATTAACATGGTGGCATGTACTGACCATCAATCTCACCAATATATGTATATATATCACTCTTCTTCTGCATATGTAAATTTCTGATAGTTCTGATAGTAGATTGAATTATTCACCGGACAACAAACAGAGTTACAGGATTGAGCATGCCGAGAGAGTGACGGGGGCGGGTTTTATGATTGTCCTTGTTGTTTCGTGCATTCTCCAAGTGCACCTTAGAAGAGGGACGTGACAGTAGGATGGCTGATGCGAGAGATTTATTCTATACACGGGGAGAAGTTTTTCTTTAAATTTATCCTGAAAATCATGTAATGGAACAACATGGCATTTCGAAGAATTTTATGAGTTTTTGGAAATTTTACCATGTTACTAGTGTAATTATACTTAGTATACATTTCACCCTACCGGAAATAATTCTACAAAATTCTACAAAAAATTAAATATAACTGCCAGAATCTAAGAAATTCTACGTAAATTTAAAAAGTGTTATAAAAATCAACATGAAAATGCTAGAATTGGAACACTTTTGTTAATTTTTGTAATACTCCACAAATAAGCAGATGTTTTAATTCTTTAAGATTTCGTTGTTTCTCAAATAAATTTTTAAAACTAGTAAAGTTTTGTACTAATTTTTACAAAATTGTACATTTTCGTGAAATACTACTTGCAATAATTTCTTGACTTGAGAACATGTTAATTTGTGGTACTATAATTTCGTAGATATTTTTACAAGAAAATAAATATTTCAACGAAGATATAAAAATTTCTACAAATTTCTATTTCAAGGCAATTTTTTGTAGTTATTTATAGGAATTTTTTCCGCTAGGGTATTAGTAGAATGTATGGCAAACTTTGAAAAAACTCTCATAAAGGTCTTCAAAATACCATGTTGTCCCACGATTAGATGATTTTCAGGGTAAATTTTAAGAGAAAGTTCTCTCCGTGTACGACACATGATATCAAAAATTATTCTCAATCTGAATCATCGTTCAGATTGCTCTTGTTCCTTCTATCTAAGAAAGAGTATTTCAATGCTCTTTTTTAGCAAAACCACATGTTCTCTATTTCTTATCTAAGAAAAAAGACATATAATTTGATGACTGTGAACACAACGGAATCTTTTGCACCAGCTGAATGTACGAATTTCGACATTTGCACTTTAACTACTTGAAGTGAGTCTGCAAGTGTCGTTTTCGGTTCTGCAACCCTAGGAACCCCGTTTTAGAACCTGCTGACCGCTTCGTCATCGGTGACGAAATAATTAGAGCTCTTCGGGGCCGAACTGTACATGCTGAAGGTGGGACTGACAATCAGGCTGCTCGTATTGCTGAACTCCATTTCGTTCGTCATCGACGAGTGCCTGCCGATGGTGGCCAGGCGTTTGTCCTTCCTTGCTAATGTCATACGACAGTCCTCCGGCCTCAGCGGCATCGACGGGTAATTTGGCTGTCTGGCGAGCGTCGTCAAGGACACTCGGTCGCCCGTGTCATTGAAGCTGCGCAAACGTTTGAGAGAAAACATGATCGGAGAGAGTGTTCGATGATTGAACCTTCCACAGCGAATACTCAATTTATAAGAATTTAAATATTATAAAATATTATTTTCAACAGCGTCGCGCGTCTATTCTAGAGAATTATAATATTATTATTGCCATGCCATCTCATTTTATATTGTAATAATTAATCATTTTCAATTATACTGTGGTGTGATGCTTTTTTTAGTTTTAGTTTATTCGAGTGTATATATAAATGTAAAAATTTCCTAAAGTAAATTACTAATAATAAGCCAAGGTGACAGGGAACCTTGAGAATTTGTCATTTACAATATCATATAAGTATCTCTATATAATATCTTTTGTTTATAATATGCAGAAATATATGTTGCAGAGCAAATCGAGAAAGAAGGATTCTGGAATCTCTATATATCTAATTCCTCTGGACATAATTTTTCTTTATTCATATTACGAAGGTGTGTAGATTCAGAAATGTTACAGGACACCGAGTCAAGGAGTAAAGATTCTGGGATTTTGTTCTAATTTGCATTCTCCGCTCGTTCCCTCATAGATACCTGTGATGTCGCACGATGCCTCTCTTTATCTTGCAATGCTCGGTTCCGTTCTGACCCTCAGACGCGGTTCCGTGGGTTTTGCACGCCTCTACCCCCATCGACGGCACGGGGGACAGGGAACCCGGTCCGTACGAACCGTTGCTCTGTCTCCTCTCCAGAATGTTGACTAACTCTACCGATGGTGTCGGCGAGAACGTGCCCTGAGGACACGCGGCACAAAACGTCGTCTCGTGGGAGCTATGTACGGGAAGCTATGGGAAATCCATTTGAATACATACTCCAAGAGTCACGCCACAAGATTGCAAGATCGCGCAGGATCTCTCTGAGAACCCTTGAACCTTTTCTCAGGGTTCTCATTCTCTAAGGATCCTCCGAATCCTCGCTATGTGTTATCGCCGAACAATCGTGCCAAGTAACGAAACATATACATGAAAATAAATGCGTAAAATTCAATTAAGTAACCTGGACAAGTAGCTAACGAATGTTTACATCTATCGCCGGATATTAATAAAAGGTTTCAGACTCATGCACGAATTGCTAATAAACTATCTTCCTCTCATTGTCAGCGTTCACCGGAAAGCCGCGATAACTCGGAGAAAAGCAATAAATCAACAGAGATAGAATCCATCAGTGTATTAAGATGAAGTACCATGGAGAGAAGTTACGTATCGAAGATACTGCAAAAATCCGAGATTTCGCGGGGGACTCTTTAAGTTCTCCCCCTGACGCTTCGTCATCTTCGATGGACAATCGTGCCGCTGATAAATAAACAAACATATACACAGACGTAAAACCAATATATAGAATTTAATAAAATAACTCAATACAGATAACTGAAGATACAAAACAAAATGCGCGCAAAAATGAAACGGTGGCCCGGTTTGTCGCGGGCCTCACAAAAGCGACGATTCATGGAGGTCGTCGCTCACCTGCAACGACGGTCTTCGCAGCGGGCCGCCCTCCATACCGACGAGCTTCACCCCCTTCACGCTCTTTCTGGGACCCACGCTGGCGGGCGGGTTCTCTTGAGCGTTTAAGTTGTACTCCATGTTGCTCCTATCAACAATGCTGATACGGTCGTTATTGCGCTGCTTCTCGCTGCTCGGCCCGAGCTCGCAGCCCACTTTGGCATAAGAGGGAGCGCACGGGGCGATCGGAGTCGCTGGTATCCCGATCGACCGGGTGGGCGAGAGTATCTGGGGACCGACGGGACTGCGTAGATTCCTCACTGCGAGGGTTTGCTCTCTGTCGTTCGGTATCGGCGTGTACACCGGGCTCGCCATGGAGACGTGTCGCGCCGGCGTCGGCACCGCGCTGCGCAAACCTTGCTGATTGTGGCCGCCACGTTGCACGACCGACATCCCAACGCTCTTCGCCCTCGACAGCTCAGCGTGATTGCTGCCGAGCATCGCATCGCCGTCGCAGGGGTCGTTCGTGTCCTCGTGGCCGTAGGTTCTTTCGTCATCGTAGACACACGTGCCGACGCCATCGCAAGAATCTATGCCCGACGTCGACTTCTAGAAGAGATCGGTGCGTCATCGATCGGTCGAATACGCGAAATAAATAACAGTTAACTTTCGCGACTGCTCGCAATTACCGAGGACGAATCCATAAGAGCTGCGCCAGAGCTGCTTTGCACTACGCCCGACGACTCCTTGGACTTTCCGGGCGAATAGATACTCAGCACATCGCAACATTGCGGAAAGTATCCTTTGCCCAGCAGGGTTCTGGCGAGGAAGCTGGTTAGCAGCTGAGTGAAGAGGGCGATTATCATGACGGCGGTGCGAAAGGGAAACTTCTGGGTGCGCGTCCTCGTATCGTAGAACGGATATTCGATCAGCGGGATTATGCCAAGACCTCTTTCACCGCCTGCAAGTATTTACTTATGAAACTCTAGTAGATTTCTGGAAAATATTTTAAACGACTATCTGAAAAGATACTTAAAAATTTGAGCATTAAAAATGCTCCAAATATTAAAAACGTTTCTCGACTCCTTAAGCGGCGATGTAATGAAAACTTGAAATGTGCCGAAGAGATGTAAAGAACAAAAAAGAAATTAGAACATTTCGTATACGTTTAAACGATGAAACGAAAAAAAGATTTCTTGACATTTCTTCTTTGTTTGAATAATGACGTTTGACAATTGTTTTAGGAATTGTCACTAACCACCGAGACGCAGGACGATAGCGATGAAATAGCCCGCCAGACAGCCGTAAGTATCCACCATGTTAGGCCAATGAATAACGGCTAACAGTTGCGGGAACAGAACGACATAAACGAGATCCGAGCACAAGTACCTACGAACAAAGAAGCGCGATGTATTTTTGTACACTGATTGTTGCGATCGCTAGATCTAGAATTCGTAAGCAAACGCGAGATAAATGTAGCAGTTATTAAGCAAATATTGTTGAGTGAAAAGGGATACTCAAACATTTTCTACCAATTATGTAAAATAATTAAATTTTTGCAAATTTGCTCGTACGCGAAGTCATTGCGGAAATCAGGGACCTACGCGCGAATAGATACATTCCACATAAAACAAAATAAAGAAGAACGTATTTACTTACGAAAGATAGTAAACGCTGCTGACTGTGAGAGCGACGAGAGTGGACAGTATGGAGACTACGATTACGGAAATTCTCAAGACCCAGTTTAGTTCACGCTCGGACGCCTGTAACGAAGGAGAGGCTTCAATGACGTCTATTAGCGCCATCGGTTAATCAGCTCAAGTTACGCTTACTTTTGGCCGTATCGTGAGTTTGTAGACGTTCCTGGTAAACATAGAGCTACTGGCGAGTATACTGGAGTCCGCCGAGGACATTACAGCCGCCGAGATTGCGCCGAGACCTTCCGAGATTAATACATTTGCGAGAAGTGAATTCAAACGTTCTTTTTATGATCGGGGAGCGGAGAGAGAAGTAAGGATATGTAAAGATATCTGAAGACTTGCCAACGAAAGACACCCATTGGGGCGTGAGATACCGCAGGACCATCGGCAACGCGGCGCTTCCGTCGTCCGTGGTGAACGTCCTGTTGAAGCCTGGGACCAAGGACCAGTCGGTAGCACGAGCCACTACCCCAATTAGGGCTGATGGCACCGCGAGTATCAGGCAACCGAACATCGAGACAATTGATAGAGTCGTTGCAACGGAAGTGCTCTTAATGCTTAGGATTCGTTGAAAGTAACCCTGGAGAAGAGGAAGAAGAAGAGGAATGTCTAAGAAGCGTGTTAACGATAATTGCGGCTCTGAATTACCCTCCAACAAAGAAGATTAACTATAATTATTTGTATGATATAATTTTCTCTTAAAATAGCATGTTGTTTTTTGTACTGGCACTTCAAGGCTCTAAGCTGCAGATCGTTCTGCTTCCAATCTCCTTTCAAGCGATCTTTGGGATGTACAATTTGAGCTTAGTCGTCGTTTACAAGCATCGTCATTTGAAGGATCAAATCACCTGCCAAGGTATACCGCCGAACACCAGTAGCAGCATACCGTCCACCCACTCGCCCATGTCCTCATTCTTCACGTGTCCCAGCCAGTCCTTCGGCGACAGATTGTTCTGGAACGACACCGCGGGATGCACCATGGAAAACGGCGCAGCTATCGCTAAACCCAGCAGAATGCATAGCAGTTGTAGCGCATCGGTACACGCCACGGAATACAGACCGCCGAAAACCGTGTATCTGAAAGCACACATTTCGCTTTTCTTGCCTCGCTTGTAACGTGGTCTCACTAGCTGTGTACATTCGAGCGTGAACTTGGCCGGTATTCATTTTTATACCAGTCCACTCTCTAAAAGTTTTCGTCAGCGTTATCCTTACATGGCCGCCAAGAGCGCGGACGCACAAACGCTGATATTCGGATCGACGCCGGCGACGACCGCCAGCGAGCTTCCCAGCGCTCTCAGGACGGCGCCGCACCAGAATAGATCGCCGCAGAGCGCCGGCAGGAAGAGCAAGCCTCCGATGCCCGCGCCGTATCGTTCTTGAAAGGGATCCAGCATCGTCACGTACTCGGCCTTCCTCATCGGACGCACGAAGAGCATGGCGCCTACGGTAGTTGATCGCTGATTAGCACGGAAAGCGAAGTCGGACTTGGCGAAGAAGATTGACATGAGATATTAATAAGAGTAAGGATTTATTGGCGATTTATTCGACAACTATTTTTGCAATTATCAGTCGCGATATTTTCTGCTTTATCTTCCGACATTTCCAGCGAATTGGATTTACGGGGTCCAAGTCAGGATAGCGCATGCTACGTGCGACATACCGAAAATCAGGCTGAGGCTGTAGCCGATAGGTACTTGACACCAGGCTAGACCCTTCGTATACATGGCCTCGGCGGTCCCGTTGACGAAGGCTCCTCCAACCCATGTTGCTACACATACGTACGATGAGTCGCAAAAGTATTCAAGTTGATCAATTTTAGTAAGTATTACGAAGTTCTTATTGAGTGAAATATATGTTGTGTTAATTAAATCTTTTCATACTCCTGCATTAGAACAACTGACCGAATTTATGTTACGTCAACAATAAAGTGCATCGCGTCAGCAGAATTTTTTCCGCGTAAATTGCACGCGTATAAATAGCGAAGCGAATGCACGGTAAATTATTTTTATCTCTTTGCCCACTTGTGTGAAGAACGGGAGGGAAATGGGAGAGATAAACGAATTGTTAAAAGAGTGATAGAGGGGAAGAGATGGGGGTATACTTGACATGAAGTTTTTCTACGGATGCATATCGCGGAGTGATCATTACGGTAATGGAGAATGCAAAGAGGTATTCGGAGTACGGGGGATACCAATGAGAAAATTTGGAACGGTTGAGTGAAAACGGGATGATTAGACGCGCGAGTCCGTAAAAAGCGGATTAGAAGAAAATGAAATAAATCCACTTCGCAAATTTATAAAATCTCTCTCGCTTCGGAAATTGGGGCTACATTAAAAATAGAGAGAAAGAGAGAGAGAGAGAGAGAGAGAGAGAGAGAGAGAGAGAGAGAGAGAGAGAGAGAGAGAGATTTATGTATTCTTTGTTAAGGCCTTTGCACGTAAAAAAGCGTTAACCGTAACCGTAATTTTAGTCCGTAATCGCAGTTTTCAACACGTACAGACAGATGGAGCAACCCAAGTAAAATTCCGAAGGTTACGGACTAAAATTACGTAAGGTCCGTAGGTTATGGACTAAAATTACGGTTACGGTTAATGCTTTTTTACGTGCAAACGCCTTTACGATACAGAATACATACATATACACGTATGTATGTATGCATGTATGTACCTATTATATGTATGTTTATATCAATTTTCACTCTACAATTTAAATAAATTTTTGGAGAGAGAGGGAGGGAGAGAGAGAGAGAGAGAGAGAGAGAAGGGGTGCGAATTAATTTTAGATAAGACAACCTACGCGAACGTGCAACCAACGCTCCCTTTTACAAACGCAAGGCGGTTGACACGTGTCGATATTGGGGAGAAAATAAGGTCGAGGCGTGCGCACGCTTTTTGCGAGATAATTTCGTAAAGTCTGACGGAGGATATAACGAACTTGGAAAAGAGGCGCTTTGGGCGCGGCAACTCACGCGACCGATTATCAGCTCCGTGAGTGAGTTCAATGCCTGCAGAGGCTGGCGTCTGCGCCGCAGCAATTTTTTTAAGTTATAGATTCCCAATCGTCGAAATCGGGGATTAATTCGCGTATACCTTTATGCATTTTTTTCCAACTACGAAAACGACATATTATGACGCAACGACGTATTAAATGTCGAGAATTAGGAAAGCGAGACTTAAAAAGATAATAGCGCGTCAATCCCGTTGAGAAAGAAACTAACGTCGGATCACGATCGTAGAGGAACGCGTAGGTACAGTTTGCAGGCGTAATGTTTCATTATCCTCTAATAATATCCGTATAATTCCGATATCAGGTAGATTGATCCTTGACCCCGCTGACCTTTAGAAGCGTTTCGAGGCAGGAAATCCGCATAATAGGCGTGCGTTCATTCTAATCGGGGTCACGCGTGATGCGATAAATGGACTGGCTGACGCAGAGTACTTTTGTCGTAACAAATTTCGTCAATTGTCGCACGGCCGAAAGGATTAAGCTTTTGCGATAGATTCACACACATAGAAAAATTTTTCCATTTTAGCTATAAACATAGCCAAGTTGGTCTTGTCGCGATATCCGAGTGTGGTGGCGGAGTCATCCTCGGACGTGTGAAGAGCAGAATTTGCCCATACGTTTCTCTTACAAGTAAATTCAAGAATCCAGCCCCACATTTCGTATGTTATATATGTTGTTTATCTTGCGAATGAATTGAAGAATACAAGGCCGTAGCCAGAAAAAAAATTCGGGGGGGGTCTAGTGGGATCAACTCGGCGAACTAAGGAGTATTGTTAATTATTAGAGAATTATTAATTAATAATATATAAGTTTTAAATTATTTATTAAATGAAAAAATTACAATTATAATTAATTATAAAATAAAATTTAACCGTCTAGCTTTTTTCGCGGCGAATAAATATATTACGTCTTCTGTGTTAATATCAATTCTACGATGAATTGACATTAACGCCAATCCGGTTAGCCTTTCTTGGCCCACATGGAATTTTTTAAATAAGTTTTTAGACCTTTCAACGAAAAAAATGTCCTTTCCGGGGTACTTGTTGACACAGGTAATGTCTAATAATTTACTAAGGTATAGAGAGTTTTTATCGTGTAAATAAATATTTTAAAAGCCATAAATTTGTTTAAAACAGTACTTATTTCAGGAAATCAAATAGTTTTTAGTAAAAAAATTACGTTTATCGTATTGAACATAATGTTTACTAATATTTGGTTTTTTTATTTCGGAGGAGGTTTCGGGGGAGGTCCGGACCCCCCGGACCCCCCCCTTGGCTACGGCCTTGGAAGAATATACCCAGCGAAACCGCATTCCAACCGTTTGTTTCCGAAAATAAGTTGTGGAACTTTATTTTTTGCATTAAATTACTACGTTCAACGTTCTGAATACTTTTAATGTTTTATGGGAGAGAACTGCCAAACGAGTTCACTTATTTAATACAAAATGTAATAATGTAGGAAACCATTCGACAGTTATGTGTATTGCTATCTATTATTTGCCTCTCTGACTCATCGCTTTACTTATCTGTCTTGTTTAGAAGCGATGTGACGGTAAGGTAGCGACCTTCTAGAATTTTCGCGTAAGTTGACAAATCGAAATGCAACGGCGAAAAACAGCGGATATATAATATATACCGTGTACGGGTCGCCCGGACGGACACTCGTGTACAGTGCGAATCGCGGATCGTCGGGCCCCAATAAATCCTGGCAATTGGCTAATTAACTGTGAGGAAATTTATTTCACTATCGGCAAATCCCAGAGAAAGCCGTTACAAAAACTAAAGTTCCAAAATGTGTAATTATTTTCGAAACATGACAGTTGGGACGCGATTTCGACTCTATTGGCGTCGATTCGACGTTAGTGTTCTCGCCGGGTAGCCCATGGTCTTGCAAAAAGGTGAAGGTCTGCGAGGACAATTACCGATGAGGGTGAAGACGCCGAGCAAGGGGCCGAGGCGTCGGTTCGCCAGCATCATGTCATCCTGCAGGTGGCCCTGCGCGGCCTGCCTCCGCTTGAACGCAGCGGCCCATACACCGACGGCCAGCACCGCGATGTAAAACACAATCACGCCGATTACGCCTGTCACGTACACTCCCATCCTCCTCTCCGTACCCGTTCGTGCTCTCGTCTGCTTCCGGATGTGAGCTCTGCAACTGAATGACTGATAGTAAGCAGCGTAGTAACTAGCGTCGCTAAACGTCAGGGAGTCACACAAATGTTTGTATTCTCCCCCACTCCCTCTCGTGCTGACTTTAAATTATCAATAGTCCAATTTCTAGAAGAGGTATTGCGGGATCCCGATCGACAAGAGCGTATTTTAAATTAAGCTCTCAGCCGGCTCTGTCGGGAGGTAACAGTTTTAGCATTTTTGCGATGCTTTACTCGACACCTCTCGTACGACTCGCTCTGCTAATTAGAGGCTTCCCTCGAGATTCCCGATTACTCCACTCGTGCTTTGCGAAACTCCCTGTCGGGATCATTTTCTCGTCGAAATTTACGATAATAGCTCCTAATGGGGATCGTTTGACGTTAGATTCTTTGATTTCTTTCATGATAGCCCTTAAGCAATTTCGTTAAAGAAGCATTCAAGATCTTCCTTGTCATTGGTCACAACATAGAGCTATCGTATATAACACGATAACAGCGCTGTAATGGTTAACAACCGGATGTACGTGGTTAATAGTGTTCGTTATACGAGATTATATATGTATTGTGATCCCGAAGTTCGGCGCACGTTTCACGAAACAGCCAGCACGGCTGAATATTTTATTATTGTTCATCGAGTCACCTCCCTTAACGTTGTGCGCTTAACAACGGGGCTATATTACATTTGTCGGGCAACGGAGAGACGCGGAGGTACACGCGGATTAATCGGATGTGAAGCGCTCTCGCGATCAATACCGCGTTAATTATTCCGTCTCCTTGATTAACATTGCCGTACAAATAAGCCCGCGTAGGTACATCTCCGCTCGTTAGTCGATACAAGAAGACTGGCCTTTGATATTTAAAAATTTATATCCGGCGTGGACTCGCGACACAGAGGCAACATGCCCGCAAAAGAAGACTCATTAATATTATCGGAAATGCATTAATTTACATGTCGTATTACGTTGCAAACTTCTAACTGCATAAAATCGCCAAAGAGGACTCGTTTCGATATGGAAGCACGCGCGGGGAGAGAATTTTCTCTTATAAAATTTACCCTGAAAGTCGTGCAATCGTGGGACAGCGTGGCCTTTTGAAAAATTTTACGAGGGTCTTGTGAAATTACTAGCAATTGTAAAATAAAATTTTGTACACGTCAAAAATGTCACAGTGACGTCTACTACAGTGCCTTTTAATGTCAGTTTGCTGCTTGGAGACACAGTAAATATAATCGACTTTTTAAAGACAAATTTCACGGACCAATATGCCTCCTCTCGACACACGAAGAGACGGATCGCGCGAAGAGTTAGGCGAGACCGAGTTTCCACCGATGTCGAGGACTCTTTTAGCCGCGCCACGGGTAGCTCTGTGACCGATGACATACAGGCTGACATTTACTATTGAGCACATTTCGCGGGAGCCTGCGCCGAGGCAGCCCGTCGCGTGGAGAAGCTAATCGAGCGCGACGGCAATCGTATAACGCGGTTTAAAATTCAAGTGTGCCCCAGATATCGGACAGGATGGGTCGTGTAGGGTCGTGACCCTACGCGGCTGAGCGCGGCGCATCGAGCCACGTATAAAGTTCAGTCGAATTCCGTGACGGTCTTGCATTATTAACCCTGCGCTTAGAGACTCGGCGCTCTTCTGGACCGAGAAGCGCCGGGACGCGCTGTCGCGTTGACGGACGGCTCGTATCGCACGTGAAACTCATCCCTGGTAGCACAATGTATTGGCGCAATATTGGGAAATAATGTACATCTATAGTATTCCCAATATTGGTCCAATATTGTAAGATGGACGCCTCTTCTTATTTAGCCAACGTGTCTATTTAGCGATATTAGCGATATAATCTAATATTATATAATTATTATCGTGCAATATGTCCATTTATTTCATGGCCAATATTGGCTTTACGTGGGGCAGTATCGGCCAATGCATTTCTAATGTAACATAACATTGGACCAATGTTTAGCCAATGTTTAGCCAATGCACTGCCAATATAATCTTCTTCTTCTTCATATGTATATTTTGTAAGGATGGTAAAGATAATATAGAGCACTATGTCAAGGATTGTAAAGCGACGAAAGATTGGTTTTTAGAATTAGGTAATAGTGTGGAAAAGAAGTTGGAAAGATTATATAACGATGTAATAGATGAAGATAAAGGAAAGACATTATGTAAATTATGGAAGGAAAAAGAAAGGCAAAAAAGGATGAGCTAGTCAGTAGAATTAAGAAATTAGAAATAAGAATCAAGAAGGGAAAGAGATTAGGGATTAGAGATTAGAGATTAGGGAGAGTTTGAATGAGAGTATGGATGAGTGGGTTAAGGAATTATTATAAACTAAGTCCCACTTTCTGGCTGTATGCTAAAGGTAATAAAGCATATATATATGAGTATATATATATATATAATCTTCTTCTTCTTCTTCTTTTTCCTCGCGTATTAGGCTTAAAGCCTGTTTTGGTATTTAATTAAGCATTTGGTTTTACTTCATCTTCGGTAGACTGCGAACCTTGCCGAATATAAATCTGATATTATATAAATATTATCGTGCAATATGTGCAATTTATTTCATGGCCAATATTGGCTTTACGTGGGGCAATATCGGCCAATGCGTTTCTAATGTAACCAACGTTGGACCAACGTCTAGCCAATGTTTAGCCAATGCACTGTGCTACTAGGGATAACGCACGCGGAGATAAGTCCGCTCAATGACAGGTAAAAAGGAAAGAAAGGGAGGAAGGGCGAGCGCGAGATACGGTGTAACGTCCGTTCTCGATATTTACGGGCGCTATCTTCGGCGCAGGTGCGAAGCGGCGAATTTTTAAGCGCGAGATGTCGAGGGATCGACCCCTGAGTACGTGCCGGGTACACTCTCGTGTGACGTTTCTCTCGATTACGTATAATAAAATTTTCACGCAAAATTCCGGCGGCATCGCGAACGTTTGAACCGAATTAAATCGGAACGCGCGTCGCGGATGCTTTTACAATTCCGGCATACATATATGCATAAAAACCGTATGGAGATTAAATTATTAAAGTTCCGCGTGTGCCGGCGCGCGCGCGCGCGTGAGGCGCGTTTGTTCCCCGTAGTTTCTCGTAGTTCGAAAACTATCGGCACGTCTCTTTTAAAACGCGCCTTTAAAGTGAGCTTTTACGTGTGCGCTCGCACGTGGACCGTTTTAGAACACAACCGCGTCAATTGATGATCTATTTAACATCCGCGCTATATGGAGACGACACATTACGGTTATATACTTAAACTTCAATAATCGATAAACCTGATTGCAGCGACGTTTCCACTCGAAAATGGTAATGTCTGACGGCGGCAACGTAACGGGGGGGGAAAAAAGTCAGCGGGGGAAAAAGTGTCTCGAATTCGCGGGCTGTATCGTCCATCGCAATCGCACATTCATATTTGAAAAATATATCGGACCATTAATCATTCTTGTGCGTTGAGTAGTGAAGAAGTCGCCCATTTTTAGCTTGTGTTTACGTGACTTTAGTAAAAACCTTGAGTTAAATTTCAGACTTAATCGTTCGAGTCGCCGAGGATAAACACATAAAAATTTATACGGGAAATTCATACGAAGCCTTTCTTCTGTTCCATGTGGAACACTCTGCCGCGATAAATAAAAGTAAAATTTACCGTACGTACGCTTTATTAATCCATTTTTTAAATCGAACGAAAACACTTTGATCGTAGAACCTAATCGAGTTCTGGGGAGATCGCGGCGAGATTGGTGCATCAGAAGCGAGCGGCGCGATCGCACACTGAAACGAAAATATTTGATATTGAAGGTGTCGCCCGCCAATAAATGGACCGTCGATAAAATTTTTCCAGAACGGCCAACGCTAGATTGAATTTTCAACTCCCTTATTTAGCACTTACGAATGTGCAGCTATCTCGCTTTAAAAATGCGATGCTGGCGGCGAGTAAATTTACTTCTTCGAGGTAGGAAGTAATCTCTCGTCAATAATGTGCTCACGCTTATGATCTCATTATCACACCGACGCAAAAATAGAAGAACAAGCTAATACATGCTTGGTCGTGATGAAGGGTAAGCAGCCCTCAAAGCGTGAGGGAAAGCGAAGAAAAAGATGCGAGAGGCGACCGACGATAATTTTAAAGCATCTTTCAAGGCTGAGCAATCGTGGAAGAATTTTTCAACAGGATATTCCCAATTGAGAATATCACGGCCGGTTATAAAGGGAAAGAATAGAGGAAGGGGGAGAGGAAAAGAGGGGGAGGGGAGAAACAGAGAGAGAGAGAGAGAGAGAGAGAGAGAGACTATATTTGCTATACCGTTGAAGAAGAGCCTCTTGAAAGGGATATAAAGCTCGTCGATGTAACCGGATGAAAATATAAACGAGACAAAAGTGAAGCACGAACTATCATATATCGATTTTGGCACGACAGATGTTTAAAAATAGCGTGCGAAAAGTTATTATTGCGTCTATATTAGACGATTGTGCAGAAACTTGATTGTTATAAAAGTTCGACTGTGCATTAGACTGTTGCATTAGAGATCGAAAGATTTGAAATGATTTACTCGGACAATCTTTTCTTAATCTTCTTCTACATTTTCCGATTCGGTACTGAAGAAAGGGCATTACTTCTCGAAGCGCAAAATGTGTGAATTACCCTTTCCGTTGTGCTGTAATTTGGACAAATACAATAATGTTCTGTTATGATTGAAACGAATAAGAATAGGCTCACAAATATATTTCTTACGGTAGCTGACACCTTAGAAACAAATAATATGCTATGCCAAAACTAGCTTGTCCATCGTCGACTTCAAGTATTATTTCAGCTTTGATATGTTTGTCAAAACAAAAGTACTTCCGCATTTGAACGGCAGCTGTAGTTGCCATCTCTCCGACAATGCAAGAGACATAAGTATTTCTATCTGTGTTAGCTCTATTTTATGAAGCTAGAGAGAACGATTGAAAATTCCGACAAATTTTTTAGAGGAAATTCCTCTATTATGAGGTAGACTCCTAATATGAGATAGCGAAATGTCTGGCTAAATTAATAGGCATCGTCTGTTGGTTCCATCATGAATTTATTGCCTTTGGAGTGAAATCTCTGTTTAGTGCAAAATTGATTGTTAAATCGTGTAATAATTGCGAAAAAAAATTTGCGATGGAATCTGCTTTGACGTTGAAAAGCCACTATATCACATTAGAATCCTATCTCATAATAGAAGAACTGTCCTCTATATCTAATTTTATCACACTTGCCAACAATTGTCGAGGTATCGTGTGCCTTTCAGTGTACACTGACAGCCTCGAATCTCCAAATGATGTTAAACGCGTCGTTTCAGCTTTTTAGGACGAAAATTGCCCAAGTCCATTTTCACGGAATCCCAATTACTCGGCATTAATTATTCGGCGAGTACGAAAACGTTAGATACAGGAGCGTGGCGGCGCAAACGGCACAATACGATTATCGAAACTGCGCAAAAGTTCGTTAATATCGCCGTTACGAAACACACGCGGTGGAATTAGAAGCGAGGTTTGGGCGAAGCTGAAAAGGGAGCTGCATTTAGGAGCAAGCATGTTGTACCGGCTTCGAGAGATTGATCGCTGGTAAATCGCTGGCAAGATTCCGTGTGTAGCTTCGCGAAGAGGCGAGAACCTGGCGATGATTCGTCTAAGCGGATGGCCCGCTCGGGTCGCCCTCGCCTCTCCCGGCGCGTGTAAAATCAGCGCACGCGGTTTATCTTTGAACACGAGAACCGGGTCGTTCGCTGCCAACTTTTCGTGCCAGTCAACAACAGTCAACGTCTTTCCGTCGCGAACGCCAAGTGGCCGCGCGAATCGATCTGCGCTTTACTCCTCGATCCCATCCTCCTCGAGATAAGGGAGGAGAACGAAGGTACCCTGTGGTCGTCTTGGGCTTCTTCCGTACGGTCCCTCGGACAATGAGTAAAACGGTGCGCGACGGGTGATAGTTTACCTAACGGTAGCGATAATTAAGAAAATATTTCCCTGAGGGCAATGTAACAGGCCAAGTGTCGGATTGAACACTCTACTTCTATTAATGTTAATAGCCATGCAAGCGGACGGAACGACTTCATCAGTTTGTATTATTCAAAGCTGCCACGTACAATTTCGATGATAAAATTGCAGCGAGAGTAAACAGTTAAAAGTAAAACGGAACTGTTTGTCTTTCGGGAATCGTACGCAAAATACGTAAAAGCCCACGATGCGTCACTTTACAATACCGCCAGTTCAAGTTTTAATTTGGCTATTTGTTATCGTCGTCCATCACTTTTGCAGATAGAGCTATAGTTCTGCAGTACACTATGGATACACCGTAGATATACGAGTTTTGGCGTTTTTTTTGAACAATGAAAACGCTTATGAAACGCGAATATTGACAGAAGCCGAATATTGTCGCATACGTAAACGGCGTCTGAAATTGAATTTTCCGAAATCGCACGGGTGTGCGTGATTGAAGCGTACAACGAGGTGCAGCACCGGGCAGGGTGCTCAAAAAATATCGAGCAAACGAGACAAGGAGAAAGACGGGGAGATAGAGGAGGGGGAGGGAGAGAGAGAGAGAGAGAGAGACAGAAAGAGCAGGATCGAAATTCCGAGTCGTATTACTTACCGCCGGCTACCCCAGTGAAATCGTGCAGCGCATCCCTCTCACGCGGACGTATCCATTCCGCCGCCCGTCCCGATTTCCTTTCCGTGGCGACGAAAAAACTGCTGCTTCGCCGAGGGAGGAAATCGGCCTCCTCTCTGGCGGCACGCGGATGCACAGCCTCGCACAGTCTCGCCGACCGGGCGTTAGCCGTGCGACAGAGAGGGCCCAGGCGATACGACTGAGTCGCTCCTACGGATTCAGCATCCCGCACGGCTTACACGCTGGACCGCCACCACCTCGCTGGGGGTAGCGCGCGCGTCACGGACAAGGACGGAGCGCCGGTCACGCGCGCGCGTGATACAGATGTACAGGGTGGTACCAGCCGGAAAGCGGATGGTCCCGCGCGAGTACCGAGAAATCGGGAGTATGAAGAATTTCCCCCCCCCCCGCCCCGAGCAATCGACTTCCTTTCGGCGAACGTTGAAGATCGGCAGTCCCCGGTAGCTCCCGCCGATTGATTTCCGCGTGGACCAAATTACGGATCGGCGAAACTTTGATTGATTTGCTGGAGGAATTAATTCGTCGAATGTAGAGAAAAGGGACGACGCGAGTGTGCGAAACAATTTTGTTGACTCGAGGCCCGTGGCGGTGATACTGGAAGTAATAATGGCGAATTCCCGGACACCTTGTATGTGAATAAAGAGCGAAAGAGAGGTATAGGACTGATCCAACTAGGGGTCTTGATAGAAGGGAAGAGATGGACACGAGAGAAGTATAAGCCGCGGTGGAGTGGGAGAGAAAGAGATCTGTGTAAGGAGAGGTGGCGAGAGGCGGTGGAGGGAAAACCGGCAAAATTAGAGAAAGACGGTTACGCGGAGCGGGTCAATGTTTCGACGTGATAAACAGTACCATGGTGTCAATGCCATGGGTGTCGTAGAGTGAAGCAGCGACGGATTGGGCGAAAGGACGAGCTTGCATCAGTAGACGGGGACAGGAAGAGATATATTCGAGCGCGCGAGGGCTGAATGCAAGGATATACCAAGAACGAATTGGATTCTCGAGCTTAAGGCAGAGACTCCGAGAGGTTCAATCGAGCGAGAATATTAATAGAAGACACGGGGAATATGGGTTAGAGTAAAGGGGAGGCGCGTAAGGATTGCAAATTAGGGGAGAGGGAGAGACGCGGATGGATCGATGGGCTTAAATATAGTCAGACAAATCAATTTTAATACAAAGAAATTTATTGTAAAAAAACCTTAGAGTACATAAGATCCTTCCTATATTATTATTACATCAGAAAGAGAGAGAGAGAGAGAGAGACAGATAGAGAGAGCGAGAGAGAGAGAGAGAGAGGGGCTCATTAGAAAGCAAACGTAAAAAAGCGGAAAAAGAATAACGAGTACGGCGTAATGGAACTAATCGAGAATTAAAATACAATCTTACATCAGCCAACTCATGCGAGAGGAAAAACAGACGTAGAGTACAAAAGGGGTAGAAAGAGTGGGAAAGCGCGAGGAGATGAAAACAGAGGGAGGGAGGGAGGGAGAAAGAGTGGGAAGGAGATATGTTCATGTGCGGGGGCAGCCCCCGTATTGATCTGCTCGCGCAAACTCCTGGTCCTTAGGCTCCCTCCGCGACTCTCACCCCCGCCTGTCGCCACCCTCGTCCTGTTTCATTCGTAGCTTCCGAATGCACGGTCCAGAGTTCTCTGGAGGTTCAACTACAATCCCTGTCGTTGTCTTCGCGTGTCTTGTTTGAAACCCCAATTGACACATAACGATACGTCCTCGTTGTCTCGCCCGACTCCGAATACGTATCGTACTTCTGAAAACCGTGACGTCTCTCCAGCGTTTGTCTCAATACCATCACCTCGAGAAGTATATTAATCTAACGCTGACTGCTATCTCTTTCTCCCTAATATACCATTTACGGCATTCGAATTGCCGACTGATCTTTTCAAGGTTTTCACCACAACCTTGCGACAGTCTCGGTCTCTCTTGATTTCAGAGGTGATCGACGGCAACGTGTAATTATACGTTTCGTAGGTGTTGAGGGAAGTCGTATTGAAACGATAAAATCAAATGCTTTGTCCAACTAATTCGCAATCGCCTACGGTGGAATTAACGCACGCTTCATGCGAAGCTTCGCGGTGATGTTCGATCGTGTTTAAATGCGTTCTCGCGAAGCTAATTGATGCAATTACCAGGCCATCTCGAAGATGCACCATGACCCTGCTCCTCGGGTCGCCGCCTGACTCGAGGGGGTTGTCACCATAGAGGGTGCGACCGATGCGCTTGTGCGTCAACATCGATACCGACAACTTCTACGTGCTCTTTCGTCAATAACGTAGCTAGAACTTTTGCGGCCTTAGCTGAAACTTAAATTGCAAAACAAAAAGAACCGCGTGGATGAAAAAGTCGTCAGAAATTTTCCGTTTTCGTGTTCTTCCCCTTTCACTCGAAGTTGTGTACGGAATCTATTCGCATATTTGTTGACAGTTAAATTGATCTTTTCGACGTTCCGTCGATTGAAAACGTATAAATTGCGAATTTGTGAAACTATGTTCAATCTCCTTTAATTTTTCACAAGAGGCGGAAATAATTATGTAGGCAACGAAAGCGGGCTTGCGTCAACGACGAGCGTTAACGATGTTGCGGTGGCGCGTGATCGACGGATGGGGAACAATGTCGTTTACGTGTGTTGAACAAGCTGTATCGCTTTCGACCGTAGGCGGCCGGCGTTTAATTAAATGTTGGAGGGCGTCGAGCGGCTCAATGGGATAGGTATTTGGTCGGACGGAGGAGAGGGGAAGACACGAAAACGGAAAAAGAGGAAAGCAGTGACGGGGAAAGGGTGAACGTTACGATGAGGATCGGTGCAAAGTCGAACAATTTCGAGATGAAAAGTGACCAATTGGACGGGGTTGAGAATAGAAAGGTTTCGGAAACGATAAACTCTCTCAAGCTCGCAACTCTCGCGAAATTCTTCACAATTATTGTTTTTCTACGCGTAGAAGCTCTCTGCGATCCCGCATTATCTCTAACACTTCCACCTTCCTCTTTACTGATTATAATATTTTCCATTATATTTCTTGATATACCTTAACATCTAGGACTAGGATACCGTAAAATAATTAGCGAGATAATGTCAATAATTCAAATACGCGTGAATGAAAGTCAATATAATATCTGTGCGCTCCTGCCTTCAAAATCCGATGATTCTCTTAACAATCTACTCTGCATTTTTATATTCTGCCGATAATACGCCATGAAGCTTTAACGTACGGTAACTGTCAATAACTGCTAAACATGTTAATAAAGGAATAAAGAAATCACTCAAAGAAATCAACAAACACGATCGTGAAAATATTATCTTCCGAACTGGAATCTTACCAGGCAAATCTTATAATTTTTGTGACGGATGACCAAAAAGCATCAAGTTACAACATGTAGGCGATAATGTTACACAACAATTACGCCGTTTATAAGAAGCACTAATGAATTGTAGTCAAAATCAACTTGCTTATCTTATTGAAACGTAAAAGTTGTGAGAAATGTTATCAGATTACAAATAAATGTGCAGTGAATGTAAAATATAACTGTCACAACTTATTGTATTCAGTTATTATCTACGTAGTATGTTTCTTCGCATATCTTATATGTATGTATATATGTACAATTATTTTTATGAAACATATGAAACATAAAAATAATGCTTTCGTAAATAAACTGAGACCAATATGCAATAAGATAGAACTTAGAACTAGATCTATTATAATATAAAATATTACATTAATAATATGAAATAATTAATTATATTTTCCATTATTTTTCTTGATATAGGGGAACCCGGGGCATAACGGGAACGCTAAGGTTAAAATTAATTTTAAATAAAATG